GGGGGTCACAAAAGGAGATAAAAGGGAGGGGAGGATTGCTCGAATGCACCTGCTTCACTCGGTAAAAAAAATGGAAGATTTGCGTGCATCAGTAGTGTATGGCGCATAGGCGCGCAATATAGAATAAAAAGTCAGTAGTTGCACTTTCGACAATCCACAGCGATGCTCTAGCAAACCGAAAGCTAAGTAGCATGCATTATCGCACGCCTTGATGCTCAAGGCCTGGGTCAGAGTCAAGATATCTAGAGATGGCCGGCAACCACAGTCGTCGTTGGTATATATGAGCTCAAGCTTGTTTGCTCAGGTCATACTGGAAGGCGGAGACGGGGCGCGGAGCGGAGACCCCACAAGCGGCATGAGGAGGACGCCAAACTTTTCCGCCAGACAACTTTATTGCGGCTTGTGTCGTTTATTTTTCGCCCACCATGAATTTTTTAAAAGGAAATTCTCCCACTACGCGCGCGACCGTAGCAGCAGCGACGGGGACCCGGGGGCTGGCAGTAGGGGGATGTAAGGCTCTCTCGCTGCGCAGCCCGCCCGCCCTCTCTGCCCGCCAATCACGCGACCGTGGCGGCCAATGACGCCTCAAAATAATGCATGGCCTCGGTTTGTCGTGCGGCGCGCTGCGGTGTGTCGGGAGCGCGCAGCGCAGCGGGGGCGGCCCTGGCCCCGTCTCTCCAGGGAGTTGACTTGAGGAATCTGCGGGGCGGGGCGGCGAGGCCCCCGCGGGCTGAGTGACTGAGGATGCTGCTGAGTACGCCCCGAGCCCGCCCCGCCATGCCCCGCCAGGCCCCGCTCCACCCCGCCTCCCCCGGTGCATGCGCTGCGGTGCGGGGGAGAGAGGAGGACGGGGCGCGGAGCGACCCTCCGCAAAGGCGAGGCGAGGCGCGAGCAGTTTGCTCACCACGAAGAGACCCTGGAAAACGTTTACCAAGAAAAACTTCTTTATTTTTCCGCTTCACTTGTAAACCTTGCGGTCTCATTTGGGCCGAATGTGAACAGCACTTTTGTATTTAAAACCAAGATAAATCTTGGCACCAAATGAAAGAAGGGGTGAAATGAATTTGGTATTGAAAAAGAATTAAGTGCACTGCACATCCACTAAAGAGCCCGCTTGCCTATCACTGTTGGATTTCCAGTGTTAAGGTCATGAGCCAATGAGCACCATGTAAGATGCGATGGAATCTTATGATTTGCGACTGAGGCAAAACTGACGTTGGCCAAGGCGACCGGGGGCGTGTTTCCGGCCTAAAGTGGGTTACGGACAGCTGTCGCAAAAGTTACGTGCAAAATAATAATTCAGTGAAAAGATGAATGCTTGATGATGAGGCTCCCCTCGAGGACCGGAGCTGGATGGGTAAGGCGATGGCGTGCCGTGGATACGGATGAATAAGATATAACCGCCCTGCGCAAGATTGCGGCTAACGCCCGGGCTCTGCACGGAAGGCCGGGGGTGGGTGGAGAAGGGAGGGGGAGCGAGAGAGAGATTATGCCTTCGCTGTGGTCTGGCGTGGTCTCCCTCTCTCTCTCTCTTGCACTTGCGCAAAACTCCGCGTACAAGCAGGTTATCGCATTGTGGCTTGAGAAAGCCCTACAGAGTATGAGGTCTTTCGAGCTCCAGAGAGTACGCGTGCAGGTCGTTGCTTAGTGTACAGGAGGGCGAGAGAGACAGAGAGAGAGAAAGTTTCAAAGGTCGTTGAAGCGCCGAACAAAGGCTTGCCAATTTTACATGTCATTAAGAACGTTACCCATGCAGCATCTGTCACTTGCACCTGAACGCACTCAGGCCACCAGCTGTGTGTGCGGTGGTGAAGTCAGTGAAGTAGAGAAGTGGTAAACACGCGACAAGTAGCCAAAAAAGCTCGGCTATAAGCTATACTTCAAATCCAACCTGGTACTTCGCACACACAAATGAAGAGTGAACTTACTTGCAAGCACACATTCATATATGTGTGAACTTGCGACTGTACGCAAAAGGAAGAAAGCACTACTGTTGGGTTTGCGGGTAAACCTCGGGGGAAACCAAGAGTAGAATTTCGGAGTTATCTTCATACATCTACATTGAAATACAACAACAATGAGTGTTAGACACAAATTACGTGATTATTGGACGACTTCCATTGAATGCCTGATCACCACAGCAGGGTAAGATTTAGCCAAAATAAATCAAATTTTTGGTAACCCCGAACCTACAATCTCACTACTCACCCAAACGGCCTCCATCCACCACCGCTCTCTCTCTCTCTCTCTCTCTCTCTCTCTCTCTCTCTCTCTCTCTCTCCCACACACACGCATACACACACACACACACATCTTCTTTCAAACACACATGCCGCTGCACTACTCTTAGTGTTCCCCAGCCGAAAAAAACTTTTGTACTGCACCCGTGGGGGCGGTGCGCGCGCAGCAGTGGTGGCTGGGGTTGGGAGCGGCGCAGGGGCGGTCCGGGGGCGGCGGCCTGGCCTGGCCCTGGCCCCGGGGGCGGCGGAGATGGGGACGGGATGAGCAGCACGGCGCAAGACTTTGAAGTCCCCGCGGACAGCGTGCCTCTCCTCACACCATCATCCCGAGCTGTCATCCCCCTCCCCTCCCCCCCGGGGCAGAGTGCGGCTCGGTGCGAGAGGCCATGACGTCACTTCGGGCGCAACCCCCGCAACTCGACGGCGCTCCCGGCAGAGTTGCGTGCCTCCTCCTCACGCTCCACCCGACGCCGACGCCGTCCGGCGGTCCTCCCCGCGACGTCGTCGTCGTCAACACCCTCCTCCTTCGAGCTCCTCCGCGTCGTCGTCGGCGCCCGCCACTCCCCGCCGCCGCGTCTCACCGCCCGGCTCCTCAGAGACGTCCCATACCTCGATGATAAGTGCGATCATCTGTATTCCATTAATACCAAATAATGCGGGGTGTGATTCGCGGGCAGGGAAGCGAGGGGAGCGGGCGGCGGGCCTGTCGGAGCGGATGAGACGCCACCCATCCCCGGCAGATGGGAGACAACGGTGCGAGGTAGGAGGCGGACCACAATCACAGCAGCACTGCTGCAGCAGTGGCACGCCACCGAGATGGACGTGGTGTCCCTCTCAGCTCCCCGGCCGGCCTCGGCCCTCGGCGTCCACCAGGGTCTCACTTGCCAAACGGCCCAGAGCAGTGAGCACACGGAAATGGAGCGGCGGCCCGGCCCACACCGCCCCGCCACCGTCCCTTCCGCCGGCCGGCCATATAGGGGCCCCAGGGGCGCTCCCGGCGCGCGCACACGCGTGCACACTCTCTCTCTCACACACACACGCACGCACGCACGCACGCGAGCGCACACAAACACACACGTGTGCGAGTTCTCTACACAGAGGTATTGATACATCGCTCTCCACAGAAAACAATGGGGCGTCTGTTTTTCAAAGGGAGCTCAGGGAACCCCCATGCCAGTAAATCTCGATTTTAATTTGCGGGAATGGAATCGATACGCGAGCAGTTAGTTGGTGGCCGCGCAAGTGTGTTTAGTTGCAACACGAGTACTTACCACGTCCGGTGCGCGGGGTGAGGTGGGGTGTGACGGTCAGTTGGACTGGGTACGGCGCCCGGTGTAGGGGTGGTTGTTGGAGTACCCACCCAACCCCCAGCAGGGTCGCCGGCAGGGGTTGCCTCGACCCGATTGTGGACCTCGGCTCAGCTTTGTGATGTGCCGCCGAGAGCCTCCTGTTGTCCTGCTGGCCTGCGCAGTGGGGACATACGAAAATACACTGTTTTTGTTGTTGTTGTTGTTCTCTCGAAAAATATGAACAGACCACTTTTTCATTCATTTTTTTTAAAGACATGACGCTCAAGTTCCCCTCCGCTGCCACCTCCTCCATCCCACGACGACGACGCCCGCTTGCCTCTTCCCTGGTGGGACAAGCAGGAGCGCCCCCCACTCAAGAGGACGACCTCTCAACAAAATACGCGCAAAACTGCCCTCACGGACGGCGGCGGCGGCAGCGTGGCATAAGGGTGCCCAACTCATCTTAAGACTAATTACCTTCCGTATTATTTTCAAGGGCTCTCTTCTTTGCTAACTCGGTTTTTTACCCTCCTCCTCCTCTGCTCTCCCTTCCCGCTTCTCTCCCGGCGGCGCGCTGCGAGATGAATATGCAAAAATACCCCCGGGACCGAGTCGTGTGGCCGCCCGCCTTTTAGACTCACACCCCTAGCGGAGACAGTCATCATGCGGTTAGTTAGGCCAGAAAGAGCGCGC